CCGGTCCGGGACGGGCGGGACACTGAGGGTTGCGATCCGTGGCCGGTCACGAAAAAAGACAAAAAGGAAAAAAAAAAAAAAGAAAATATACTTTAAGTCTACTAACTAAACAAGTGAGCTTTGGCAGAGGCCAAAGGTCATGGGGAGCCTTTCACTAAGGGTCGAAAAGGGAATAAGGCTTATTCGGAGGAAATGGAAGCGTTTTTTTTTTTTTTTAACAATAAATAAATATTTCCAACCTTCTATTGTTAATCTAATATTCTGAGTATCTATTACATGCAGCCAAACTGATATCCAAGCTCACACAATTCCCTAAATTCTCTCTCCAGCCTAGACCTCTCCTCTGAGCTCTTATACATACTGAGATGTTCTCTAGTTACTTCAGATTAAAGACCAGACCTGAATTCACAATCTTTCCCCACAAATCCATTTTTCCTCCAGTGTTCTCTATCTTAGAGGTACCATCACTGACTCCGGTGGTCACACCAGAAACCGAGAAGTCATCTTTGGTCACTCCTGCTCCCCCTGTCGTTTCTCAAGTACAACCCTCCTCTCTGCTACCTCCATGTTCAAGCCACCATCCTCTCACCTCTAAACTATATAAAAGCCTCCTAATTCATCTCATGTGTCTACTCCTGTGCCACCCAACACATTCTGTAGGGCATCGAGTAATCCTTTAGAAATGCAACTCGGATCGTGCAACTCTCCCGCTTAGAACTTTTCAACACTTCACAGTGTACAATGCATTGAGCTCAGATTCCTAATGCGATCTACAAAGCCCTGGCCTGCTACTCTGCCCTTCGCTCTCTGTACTCCAGCCACACACATGCCTCCTTTCAGGTCCTCTTTCCCATCCTATGGCCCCAACACAGGCTACTCCTCAGCCTGTAATGCACTCTACAAACCCCATCCCATGCTCCTTTGACAGACTAGGTCCTATTTATCCTTCGGGTCTCAATTTTCCCAGTGAAGTGACCTACAATAGCCAATTACACTACTTGTACTTCATCATATACTACTGATCATAATTTAATTAATTAGTTATTTGGTAATTATTTGATTAATATCCATTTTCCCCACAAAGTTGTCATAGCCAATTACACTACTTGTACTTCATCATATACTACTGATCACAATTTAATTAATTAGTTATTTGGTAATTATTTGATTAATATCCATTTTCCCCACAAAGTTGTAAGTCTCATGATAGTAGGGATCATGTCTGTTTAATTCACATCTGTATCCCCAGTTGCCTAATACAAATTAGTATATATTTGTTATGATTACATCCGGTAGTTAATATTTACTGTACAAAGTATATGAAAAAAGAAGTTTCAAAGCTAGATTATCTGCAGAATAAAAATTTTTAAGTTATTCTGAGGAAAAACTCAGCTACTCTAATGATTTGACCAGGGTTACTAAAACATTTTTGGTTTTAAACATCTTTTTAAAAAAACAAAAAACAAACAAACATGCTCTAACTGAAGTGAAAAACCAAGGTTAAATTTGCAGTGTATGCTGGCAGTGCCCCCTCCCTGTGTACTTGAGGGCTCAGATTTTTTAAGAAGTCCCACACACCCCTTTGAGGGTCCTACCATCAGGCAGAGGATCAACCCAGTGTTTGTTGAGTCCCATAGGAATAGAGTCCATCTCGGCTTCCCGCTGGGCCTGCTTGAGTTCCCGCCTTTCTTTGGCCAAGGCACTCTGCATCATTGCTGCTTGGGAGAGGGAGCCATCTGGGTTCTAATGCAGCAGAGGGAAAAGCATGTGTTAAATGTCCAGGAAATAAAACATAGATGTTAAACCACTGTAATCTAAAACATGAGACCACACCTAGAATAAAGTTCATGTCAATGTACAGACTACACGAAAGAAATGGATAAACTGGAGCATAGTCAGATAAAGTGACCAAAGACAATGATAACTCACTGACGGAACTGAGTTGTTTCACTTGAAGATGAGAACCCCAAGAGAGACAGGAATGAGGCTACCTTTAAATGTATGAAGGCCATATAAGAAAGGGATAAGAATTCTTCTCTATGACCCCAAGAACTAGAATTAAGACCAATGTGGACACCTCAGGGAGACAGATTTTAGCTCTGCCTAAAGACGAACTAATGATCAGATCCATCTAAAGATGGAATGTGTCTCCTTAAGGGTGGTGAATTCCCTGTCAATAACAATGTCAAGCAGCTCTGAGATGACCACATGGGAAGAACACTGCAGAAGGATTTCATAGGTGAATTATAAGCATTATATGTGTGGCTGGGCTGGGAGATCTTTGAAACATTCTTTTCCATACCTAAAATTTTATAGCTATTATATGGATTTTGGTTTGCACTCTCCCCACAGCTCTGCCCTCCACAGCACCCAGTGCTATAGCTCTGTATGGGTGGCAGCCCCAATTGGTCAAGCAAGCCCTTCAAAATTGCTTTTGAATATGCAGGACAATGATTTCAGACTTCAAGAACCTGGCCAAAGGCAAAGATGGTAGATCAAGCACTCCTGTTTGCTTCCACTTTCTCCCAAAACACACTAAATAAGCACAAAAGAATTAAACAGGCAAAGCAACAAAGCCAAGCTAATCTCCATTTGAAACAAAAATATCCTAGACCCTGGCTAACAGTCAATAATACCTTCTGTGGCTTGAGTTCTACTTACACAGATCTAATAACCTGACCTGTTAATTTAAGAAAAGAAGTCTACTACTACCCAAAGTGATCTACAGATTCATTGCAATCTCTATCAAAACACCAGTAACATTCTTCACAGAAAAAGATAAAACAATTCTAAAATTTGTGTGGAACCACAAAAACCCCAAATAGCCAAAGCAAACAGAACAAAGTTGGGGACATCACACTAAATGACTTCAAAATATACTACAAAGCTATACTAACCAAAACATCATGAAACTTGCATAAAAACAGACACACAGACCAATGGAACAAAATAGAGAGCCCAGAAATAAAGCCATGTTATTTATAGCCAACTGATTTTCAACAAAGGTGTCAAGAATATTCACTGGGTTGGGCTGGCCCGTGGCTCACTCAGGAGAGTGTGGTGCTGATAACACCAAGGCCACGGGTTCAGATCCCTATGTAGGGATTGGGCCAGTTAGCTCACTTGGGAGAGCGACAACACCAAGCCAACGGTTAAGGTCCCCTTACTGGTCATCTTTTAAAAAAAACCTTAATTGGGCCGGCCCGTGGCTCACTCAGGAGAGTGTGGTGCTGATAACACCAAGGCCATGGGTTCAGATCCCTATGTAGGGATTGGGCCAGTTAGCTCACTTGGGAGAGCGACAACACCAAGCCAACGGTTAAGGTCCCCTTACTGGTCATCTTTTAAAAAAAACCTTAATTGGGCCGGCCCGTGGCTCACTCAGGAGAGTGTGGTGCTGATAACACCAAGGCCACGGGTTC